ATCATCCTGTATGCTGCTGTTGATAGTATGATACAACAAGCACAGGGGTGAGTAATCATCCTGTATGCTGTTATAGATGGTATGATACAACAAGCACAGGGGTAAGTCACCATCCTGTATGCTACTGTTGATAGTATAGTTGGAGTTCCATTCATCATCTATTGTACACAACTGTGTTGTGACTTCAAAAGTATTATTAGCAGGTTTTTTCAACATGTATTTTAACATGGTAAATTTAATCCTATTAGAGTTGAGACATTGCGGATACGAAAAGATGTGGATAGAATCATCAAAGAGATAAACATGACTGTTAAGGTAAGACTTTACCTTATGCTTCTAGCATACTTACAATCGTAGGGAAAAAAGAATTCCCAAATTTTTCCCCTTAATCCAAGCATCAAATCATCAGGCTTAATAGACCCCTGGCCAAATGGTGGCCACAAATTAAAATGAGTTCAAATTAAACTGAGTGAAAAACCAATACCAACACTTGAAAGACCACCTTTGCTTTAGTAACCCTACGAAGATCCATTATGTCAGGTGTTATATTGGCCGAGAAAATTCAAGTTGAAAATTAACAAATAAGGTTACCAATTAAAGTAAAAGTGCTCTTTCTAGTGCTGGAATAGGTTTTAAATTTTAACTCATTTGAAATTTTGACAAAGGGTCACGTACATGTATTCAGGATGAGTGCAATGTGCATGTTGGATCATAACCACCATGTTGGTTAACGATAACAAAGCATTCCTTACCAGTTCTCTTGTTAGATCAACCAACATGGCGGCTGTTTTATTGTCAGTCATACAGTATCTCAAGGGATTTTGAGTCACATGGTTGTGTGCACTATATAGCCAATAAAATGTTACTCCTGTTCGTTTTTGCTTTTATAAATCAGAAAGAAATTGAAGTTGAATGTAAATCAGGCAAAGTCCATGCCGAGACAGGTATTGCTGCAAACCAAGACAAGAAGATGCCTCCTAAAACAAAGTATCAGCCAGGAACGGCATTGTCTAGAAGACAACCTAGAAAGATGGCTGGTAAAGAAAATGTGCCTGATCCTAAAACCACGACAACAAAACCAAAGGTTAGTGATTCTTATAGTTATTATCAACCCTGGAGAAAATGACGATAATTATGAGTCTGACTTATTTATTGCTAATGTTATCCTAATTTAGCCGGCTGTCAAACCATCTTCTTCCCGTATGAAACCATCTGTAAAACCTGAATTAAAAACAGTTTCCAAACCAGTTTCCAAACCAGTTACTAAATCTGTTCCTAAGCCTGACCCACCTGCACGACCTCAGACCTACCTTACTAGTGTGTATGGTCGCCAACCATACCATCCACAGCGTATCACATCCAAGGCACCCTATCTGCACTATCAGTCTCCTGTTAACCCAAGAACAGCTGCCCTTACATCTGCAATACTTGGTGCTGGTTCCAGAGTCCAGTCTAAGCCAGTTCATCAGGAATCCTCAAAACAAATCCAAACAAGAAATGAAGAACCCATTCAAAGAAATGAACCCCCTCGTTATTACTTCCATCCTGACATGGATATGTCAAATGTTGTCCCTTCAAGGGAGGGACGAGTACACCTTGACGCACCCGTGGAAGGACACTTGGTACCAATGGCAATTCCTCTCGGAAAACCTAAAACAGATGAATCTCTTAGATTGCCGCTGACAATGGGTAGTACCCCTGTCAATGATACAGGTAAGTCATCTTGTCATTGTTGATTTTGATTGATAATGACATGTTGTCTTTATAATATACCACGGTCACTACCCCTGTACATGATACAGGTGAGTCATCTTGTCATTGTTGATTTTGATTGATAATAACATGTTGTCTTTATAATATACCACGGTCACTACCCCTTTACATGATACAGGTGAGTCATCTGGTCATTGTTGATTTTGATTGATAATGATATGTTGTCTTTATAATATACCACGGTCACTACCCCTGTACATGATACAGGTGAGTCATCTTGTCATTGTTGATTATGATTGATAATGACATATTGTCTTTATAATATACCACGGTCACTACCCCTTTACATGATACAGGTGAGCGTAAATATATTTCGTATATTATAACGTTAAGTATATTCCTATAATCTACCACAGTACGTCAACCTTCTCCAGTCCCCCGTAAGAAGCCAAGTCCAAGCAAGCCAAATGTTGCTGTGATTACTATTCGTGATAAGGAGGCTGGAGACGACTCAACTAATCTCAAGAAAAAGAAAGGAAAAAGTCAAACTACAAGGCGAGCTGATCTTGGAGTACAGGTGGGAATATATTAATAGCCGTACAATGATTTAGATACCAATAATTGTCACGATAGAGCTAGCTCACTTAGGAAGCAGCCTTGACAATTAGCAAGCACTAAACTCTTTCAAAGTGTTCCATTAATAATAAACATTTATAGACGGAAAGAGACAATTACATTTAACATCATGCCTTTTTCGCTTTCTTGTCCTTCCTTCCAGATTCTGCCTCCAATGGATATTGATAGTTTTACCGAATCCAGCGACTCTGTTGTTACTCCTCGCAGCAAACATCATGTTTCGGTAAGCCACCTTCCTCCTTCCTTTCTTCAGAGGCAAACTGTAGTATGTATAATGTTTTTGGCAATTTTAGGGACGGTGGGAAGGAATGGAGAGAGAAAGGGAATTCAAATACTCGTTATTTATTACCAGGATATATCTGAACCATTCACACGACCTGACGACTCAGAGTATGATGACTTCAGGAACTATCTGATAGTCAGAGACACTGAACCTGAAAGAGAAGTAAGTTAACGTAATATACTATGAATAAAGTCCAAAGGAATTTTCTGAGAGTAATTCAATGAACAAATATTTAATATATCAATACAATGGGAAATCAAATTCCAAAACGTAAATTTCCGGTTACTTCAGCTCACGATCTGGATAAAAAAATATACGTAAGAATATTACGTAAATAAAAAATATCAAGCAAGACTTGGAGGGCAATCATTTTGTCGTGAGCGTTTGAATGCGGGAAGGTGACGACAACACGCGTAAGCTCATCCATGCAGCTAACAGAAAACCTAACAGCATCCCGGTATGGCCTCTGTCTGCACTAGCTAAAAGCCATACGCTGCATGTCATAAGATTTTTTACTTGTTCTTGTTTCCACCATATATTCAGGGTTTTCTCATTGGCTGAATATAACTCATCTTTTTTATATATGAACGATTAGGAAAAAGACGATGACGATGAAGTACCTCGAATACCCACGCCTGAGAATCCTTTGACGATTGAAGGACACACGGAAAAGGAATGCATGTATCACGGCCCACCCTTCCCGCCACAACACCCTCCGTTACCTAGCAACACCCATCCTGGAGTACTAGACGCGGATAACAGGGTAAACATTGCAATAGAGGACAGAGCAGTGGAATGGTATGACAAGTACTGTTTTCTCAATATATTCTGTCCTGCAACAGTTAACTGAACGTTTATGCACTTTTCTTTAGGGTAGAACAAGAGCTTTTAGCGAGAATCGTTAGTGAGATGAACCAACCTTTACCTGACCCGACATTAGCAACAAGAACAACTCCCGAGTCCTCCCCTGACAGTAGCGTTGTTACAGATGACGGAGACATGCTTGGTAAGAAGGTTTTTCATTTGTGTATTTCATCTATGCTGTTTTTTTCTTCCAGATTTTCCAGTTATGCTCGTTTACGGGTTGTCATCTCAGCTATTGACCTCTGGAGCTTGGACGTAATTTTTCCCCCATTTCGAACCAGTTATCAATCGCATTCTTTCACGTGGTCTGAAATGGGAAAAGATTACGTCAAAAGTAAAGAGATCTATTCCCTCGATACTCGAGCTAAGTACCCAAAAATGATATTTCAATTCAAAATTCAGTATTTTTAAGTAACCAGCTGTGTATGGTTTATTGCAGCCGCAACTATAGGGTTAGGCGGGATTCAGTTGTTCGTAGATGCTGGGATCCCTGTAGATCGTGATTTTGTTGCTGAGCTTATAAAGGACGCGATAGCTGAGCAGATCGTCTCAACACTTGGTTATCCAAAGCCTACTGCTACACCCAGACAACCACAGGTAACCCATAAGAATCACATTTGAACTTTTCATTGATCATCATAATTATATACATTAGGCCGAATACAATCTCTGAACTTCAAATGAACCGAAGCTAATGACATAAAAGAAAACCCCTATATTATCCGCCAATGCGTACGGCTTATTCGAAGCTCGACGTTTGACCTTAGCCTCACTGCATTGCTACATCGATTAACAGGAAGATGTCCAGGAAGAAAGGTATTCACCTGAGCCCGCGACAACGCCGGTCAGTACTCCCTTACCAACCCCTGTCTACACACCTGTTGAATCAGAAGCTAGTGAACCACATTCACCTGCAGTAGCAACGCCAGGACCCTCTCCTGTACCATCACAACCAAGTTATACTACGGAAAGTGAGGAAGAACCAACCCCAGTCAAGGAAGTTAGTGAAGCAAGAGAAAAATCTGATTCAGAGGTAAGAAAGATTACTTTAATCATGCGGTATCTTGCTATACTTATCGTCAACATTATATCTTTCAAAAGGTTTCAGAAGCAAGATCACCAGTACCTACACCTGTGGCGACGCCCTCTGGTTCCCATTCCCCCACGGCAAGCGTCTCAACTCCCGAACCTTCCACCCGTGAGCTAGAATCTGAGATCGGCAGCCCTCTTCCTACTCCACAGGCTACTGAAAGAACCCCTAGTCCACCACCTGAACCTAGCACGTAAGTCTACATGCCACCATATACTAAATTGGTAACAAACGATTACCGTTCCCAAGCTAGACGATAATGCACCATATTCTCTATCTCAGAAATGCATAATGATATATATAAGTGTAGGCAAGGCTGCAAATATTTTTTAATGTTCTATAATGATGCCGTGTCAGATCAGGGACAAGATTTGATCTGACATGCAGCCAGTCTGGTCGTACAAAAGCTGAAACAACATGGCGGCCGCTACGTGTAACACTGTTGCTGTCCTTTCCAACGATTGGATTCACTTTTCTCTCGTTACTTCTGACCCTGCCATCATATACTTGAAGGTTCTCCGGGTTTTGCATATTTTTATTCAAATCTAGAGTGAACATATTTTTTCATATTCCACATCCTAGTAGAAGAGTCAGGTCAGGGTGTCCGGCCAGACTGAACTTTCACCAGTCAAAACCACTAATTTACCGTACAAATGTCCGTTGTCTGGCGATAATTTGCAGGATTGTGTAGGTGTAGGAAAACAGAAGCTTTGCACCATCACATGATGGCAGCCATGATAAGAGGCACAACAATAGAGTCGTTCTCCCCTGGGAAACTGAATTCTTTTTCATGTAAATCACATTAGACCAGATTCAATCGGTCCCCTTCACAGTTCCAGGCGCTATCTTGAAAGGTAGCCGTGCTCGAAGCGAGACGAACGGTGAGCTTGCAATGATAGAGACCTGTGAATAATAGTCCAAGGTGTCAAAAAAGGTCTCTATCATTGCAAGCTTACCGTTCGTCTCGCTTCGATGCAAAGGCACGGCTACCTTTCAAGATGGCGCAGGGAACTGTGAAAGGGACTATTGTTCCTGCTTCCTGTCATGACTTCCATCACGTGATGGTGCAAAGCCTCTATGTAAGGAATTTGTACTATTCTCTCTGTAGTATATCCACCCCTCCTATAGAGTCTTCGGTAACTACGCCCAAGCCTCCCACAGTGTCAAGTAGTCCATCGTCCATGACAACCAGTACTTTATCCACTCCTACCACGACATCAACCATGACAACAATAGATGAGGAACTCTCGGAAGGACAACTGTTACAGGTACATCATATTGGCTTTTATTTTTATTATTTTATTTTATTGTTAAATAAACCCATATTGAACAACAATATATACAGAACCAATTATATTGGATGTTTACAAACACATAAACTAGTATAACTAGAAGGTGTTATTAAAACTGTTAACAAAGAAATTACAGAATAAGATGCAATGAGATACTTGTATACGCGATATAAAACATTATTTACAAGAAATCAAAAATCAAATAAGTAAATAAGTTTAAAAAAATTTTTCTTTTTTTACAAAACAAGCTTATCAATGATTAATAGCTTAGCATTTGCCTTTTTGCGAAAAAGGTAAAAAAGAGTCACTGATAGATTCGAACCCATGACCTTCCGGATGCCGGTCGGATGCTGTAACCACTAGCTACAGGAAAGACTTATGATGAGCGGTCATTTACTGGGTTCATTATGACATATGGCCTGCACACTGCTAGGCTCAATACGTCCAGGTTTATTCAGAATCCTCGATAATTAATGATGGAAAATTATTTATAAGCTAGGAAAGAAGTATATCATTGAATGATTGTTGTTTTCACAGCCGTACGTTTGGTACGCCCCAGTATTGTAGTGAGGGGGATAAGGTTCTTGTTTGTGTTGACTGCTGCGCTTATCAAGTGATTGTTGTTTTCACAGCCGTACGTTTGGTACACCCCAGTATCGTAGTGAGGGGGATAGGGTACTGGTTTGTGTTCGCTGCTGCGCTTATCAAGTGATTGTTGTTTACACAGCCGTACGTTTGGTACACCCCAGTATTGTAGTGAGTGCGATAGGGTACTGGTTTGTGTTCGCTGCTGCGCTTATCAAGTGATTGTTGTTTACACAGCCGTACCTTTGGTAGACCCCAGTATTGTAGTGAGGGGGATAGGGTATTGGTTTGTGTTCAAGTGATTGTTGTTTTCACAGCCATACGTTCACATGGGTCAGTATAGTGAAGGGGAATACACCGCGGCATTCTCTCCTGGACTGGAAAGAAAGTTTCCTGACGAGGGAATGGATGTACTGGGCAAAGATCAAGGTATAAGTTTACTTTTAATTCTAAAGATAATTCGGGAGAAGCACGAAGGCTTATATGCGGGGAAATATTCTGGACGAGAGAATGAACGGAACCATAGAGATCGGCTAAAATAGCAGTAGTTATATTAGCTTATGCGAAAACACCTGCCAACTCACGATAATCATGTCACTGAACTACTTGGCATATGCCATTATGTGCACCAATCAGCAGCTGATAGGCTATTCTGGGACTTCACTGGAACGAATTTATTAGTTGGATTTTAATCTTTTGTTCATTTACATGGTATATTTTTACTTCCAGCTGCCTATAGAGTAAAATATTTACCTTAAGTGAGCGACTCCATTGAATCAAACAAAACATTTCTTTAGACGTTCATAATTTCGTCGTTTTCGTTTTTCTTTGGTTTTTGTATGTTCGCATTGATTGATTAGATTATTTTCAGTTAGTAATCTAGCGACAAGACTTGCTCTTGATTAGTATTTTATCTGACGAAGTCGATGTCAGGTTAAAAAACAGGTTGATGTAGGTCAATAGTAGCAAGTACATCACCATAACAAGTACAAATAGCCGTAAAATAAACGCAAAATGGAAAAAAGAAGACTTGAACATCTCCAAAGAGATTCACCTTTAGGAAATTACTTAACAAATAAGATGCAAGATCAAGGTAAATCCAAGTGTCTCTTTCTTCTGTCTCTCTTCCTCCTTCATGCAGCTTTATTCGGCTATATGATATCTTGACCGTATCACTACATGAACAACGACTATCACTTAACACGAGATTATAATTGACTTACTTTATGAATAGAAATTTTAAACTTAGTACATCATTTGAGGTCGTTCATTTTTCCATGTGCGTAAAGTTTTATGATGGCCATCGCTGTGTTTTGCAGTATTGCCAGTTAGTTTAGTTAACCATAATATATCAATATTAAGTAAATGTAAACCCATTCTTTACACAGTCCACTGTACGGAAAGGTTACAGTCAAACAAATATTATTGGATTTTAAATAGCATAAGTTATCCAGTTATTTCGCGGAAGCAGACAGTGATTAACGTTTTATGCCTATCGCATGGGCCACCGAGGAGGGGGGACCGGGTGGGGGCACAAGTCGGGCAGCTACAGCCCCCTCCCCACTATTTCCCTTTTTCCATACTGGTCTATTCACTATATTTTCCGATCTTAGCCCCCCCCCCCTACACAAACACACCACCACCCCTTCACTTTTAAGGGTCTTCCGCGGTTCCTGTATCGTGAAAAATGGAAATATAAAGATCTTACTCCAAGACACGTATAGTGAGCACCTGCTACATCAGTTGTTCGGGCTTTAGTAAAGCACTGAACGGCTTTTATTTCGATTTCTCATTACACTAGAGTTGATAATGCTTCTACTGATCAATTCTTTCAACAGATAGTAGCAGCTCGAGTACTACGAGTACTGTAAGTACTCTCAAAGACACAGATGATATAAGAGAGGTACGTCGATGCATCCTCCATCAAATGCATGTTGTTTGCCAAGCTCAAAAAAGAGTCGTGGCAGACGAGGGATATTTTTACGTGATCAATTATGAATTTTGTGCACAAAATTTTGATCCCTGGTTCCAAAAATTTCGGTACAATTTAGTAATTAGGAATTAGTTCCTTGAGTGCAATCACACAATCTCTCTCCTGTGATTCATGATTCCAAAAATATCGGTACACTTTAGTAATGACATTTCGATACCAGAAATATTTTTTCGATCCTTGAGTTCAATCATACGATCCTCTCTCCTCTTGATTCATGATTCGGAGTAAGGTGATCTCGATCTGAAGCATATGGTCCCTCAAATCCCACTCAACTCCCTCGTCACGACTTTGTCAAAAGCTCTGTGTTTGTAGCGGCCTCTATATTTTTTTGTACTTTTGTCTCCCCAGCAACAAATTCTGTTCAGCGCCTGTTCGTACACTCTATATATTACTCAATCTTCCTCATATATTTAGTGTTACCTATATGGATCTTATGACCGAGTGCGAGCCGAGGTCGTTAGTTAATGACCGAGGTTTTTCCACTGCCTTATGGCTCATGGTGCGGGCCATGAAACGAGGTTCAATAACTTACGAGTACTTACAGAACAAGCGAGGATAATAAGATGTTTATTATATGGCAAGGCGAACACAAAAATTGGGTTGGTGGTCCGTACCGTAAGAACTACCTTGTCATAATAATTTCATTTATTTGCACAGGATTCTCTTGTTGACTACACTCATAGTGAAGGAGAGATCGTCTTTCCCAGAGATCGAGTCCCAGTGTCCTATGTTCGTCCAAGACAGACCGGTGGTCCCGACTCAACCAGCAGTGAAGGAGAGATAGGTAGGTGTTATAGTCTCCAAGAATAATGCTGCTTACGATCTTTAGATGTTGATGATGGCGATAGTGACGATCATAATCCCTTTACAAAATAGTACCAAATCACTCTGGTCCGTTCTAGTTATCGAATTCTGCTTAGAACCTTTTCTTTTTTGTTTTTGTTTTGTTGTTGTCTTTTATTTTGATTTTTGTTCCTTATTTGTTTTTCTTTTTTTCCCGTCGTCTTTTGTTGTTGTTGTT